CACCGTCGATACTCCAACCGGCAGACCGAAAATGCGCGATAGCGCGAGTTGGGCCCCCTTACCCCGACATCTTTAATCCATCTTGCTTACGCCTAATGCTAACCGACTGCCTTTGATGAGGCATTATTGGATATGACGGAAAAGTGTTCCTCTCTGTAGCTGCAAGTTTGTAACAGCAGGTTTCGTAGTTTGTATAAGGACTCTATTCGGGAGAGGCTTGTATTTAATAGTGCACGCATGTAGCACCCCACAGGAGACTATTCGGTAGGGGGCTTTTATTTGGGCGCATCCGTTAGTATACCTAGACCAAATTGTGTACCGTTTTGGCGGTACTCAAAGAATAGTGTACCGTACCAAATATAATACCATCACCCAGATGGACGCTGCGTCGATTGCTGGTCCTCGAACCGCTTGAGCGCCGCGGTTTCGGCAGCCGACAGCTTCTCCCCAGCGCCAGACCATTTTCAAAAAAAGGCGAATGGACAATTTTTGAGTTGGTGTTTAGGTATTCCCCCCTAATAGGGTAGTCCAAAAGAACCGAATCAAAAAGAAGACGTACCTCGCCCATACTGGTCGTGTCGCTCTGCAGACGCTTGCACACACTGTCCAGCTTGGTCAAGCGCACCAACAAAGCGCACAATTTCTTGTGCTCGCTGGTAGACGGAAGGGAGTCTTCGACAGCTTCAATCTGGCGGATGTGCGCTCTGAGCTTGACGTAGCGCTTTCAGCATCTCGTAGGTAGAAGACCAGCGCGTCACATTGCGCGTCTTGGCGAGAAGGGGGATGAGCTTGGAAAGTTGCGCGGCGCTATTTGGGTAACGTAACTGTTGCATGAGGTCGTTAACCTTTTGCAACAGTGATTCGTGTTCTGTTAAGAAATTTTTAACCGCCAGGTTAAATCAATGGGGTGCACAGCCGACCAATGGGACGCCGAGTTTGGTTGCGATACTGCGGCTCGTGTTGCAGTTATCAGCAACCATGAACATGATCATATCAACGGTTTTGTTATAAACCGCCAGCACGTTCCGGGAAAAATCAATGTGAGCGTTTGCATCTTGACTCCCCCCGTCGAGCGGCGAAAGCGCCAGTAGCGTGCGTCGATGCCGATCGCCGACGACATAGATCCCGTAAGCCGCAACGTAGTGCAAGGTGCCATGCGTACATTATACCGATCTCGTTTTCCATCTCTTCCTCGATTACAGAGCCCAGTTTTGACGCCACCATAATCATGTCGGCATTGACCGCCTCGGAATTGGTTGCACTCCACTTGGCCATGGCCCTGGTTCGCTCTTCGTCCACCTCGCTCAGCGGCATGCTCCTCTCGACAACCCACCGCAACCAGTGGTAGCGGTGGGATGTCTCCTTGGACACGAAGCCGAAAGCTTCAAGCGGACGCTCAGGATTGCGATGGTGGGTGTCGAACTGAGCACGAAAGTCCTCGTGGCGGCTCCTCAGGTGTGAGAGAAGGTTAGGGTATCCTGTGCCGGGAAGTTGCTTTCTATCCGTGCCGCAAAGCTTGCACCGATGAAGCCCTTCGCTTCGAGGCTCGAAGAAGAAGGCGCTGAGGTCACGGCTCGCCAGCATGGTTCAAGTTTTAAAGTGAGTAGTTAGTGTCTGCTGCGGCTAACGGCTATATATCCTGAGACACAAGGTTAAACGAAGCTTGCAGAGCCACTCAGCATTCTTATGCATATATAAACCGTCTTTGAACCGTCGTGCGGCTCCGGGTCTGCTTGAACCGTTGAGCCGAGAGTTGGTTGGAGTGACTTTTTCTTCTGACCCATTATTGGATTGCAATAATTTCTGGAATATATTATTGTACTGGATTCTGTTGATGGCAATAATACTAAGCAAAACACAATAATTGCAGTTCCACAATTAATTTTTCAGAGGTCTACCATCACCACCTAACCAGAACCACCAATTTTCTTGGTCGGCTCTCTTTATTCTGAGTTTTACCAGTCCCTACTAGCCCTCAGCAGCCAAACCACTCCCAGTGAAGATGCCGTCGTCACGCATGCCCAAGCCAATGGCCGAGAAGAAAGAGGTCGCTCAGTGGATCGAGGAATACGGTGGTGTGCCCACCCCAGCCGCTGTTTACTTCAAAAACGAGCGCGGCTGGAAGATTTCCGAAGCTCAGGTGCGCTACTGGTGGAAGCAGCGCACTGCTATCAATGCCGCGCCAGCGCTACGCAGCCGCCTGAATGGGGCGGGCGCTAAGCCATGGCTCTCCGAGATCGAGGATATCAAGTGCTGTTTCGTCGGTCTGCAAAAGAGAAAGTCTCTCGTGATTGGATTCGCGACGCTGGGCAGCGGGTTGCCGCATCTGATCTGAGCGATACAGATTTCGCTGCGTCGGACCGCTGGGTCAACGGCTTCATGCGTACGTATGGGATATCGCTGCGCCGCACCACTAATCTTACCGTGCTAACCGATGACGTGCTGACCGACCGGGCGGTAAGCTTTCTAAGCTATCTCACGTCACGCATCGATGGGCTTGGCGACGATCACACCATCCTGATGGACGAGACGGCAGTCTACTTCGAGGACCCGCGCCGCCAGACGGTGGACCAAGTTGGAGCTCGCCACGTCGTGCTAAAGTCTACGGTATTTGCTTCGATGCGGGTGACGGCTGTGCTGGCCTTCACGGCAACCCGCCGCAAGCTGCCCCGCTGGTTGTTTGAAAATGGTCCAAGCAGGATGGCAAGGTTGAGCGCTACGGCAACGTCTACGTCGTAAACCAACCCAAGGTATGGGTCGACTCGGCGCTTCTCACTCGTTGGCTGGATCTGGTGTTTCCGCCCATTTTCGATACGTGCACACAGGTAAAAGCGCTGTTCTGGGACAGCACACATCTCTAAGATGGTGAAGGCTCGGTGCGCCGCGATAGGGGTGCAGATGTTCGTCATCCCAGGAGGAATAACACCCTACGTGCAAGCGGGAGATATCGGGATCTACAAGTCATTCAAGGACAAACTGTCGCCCATCATTGACAGCTGGAAGAAATCTGATGCTGTGCTTTACACTCGTGGAGGAAATCCAAAGCCACTATCGGTTGAGACCGTGGCGAACTGGGTGAACGTCGCTTGGCGCGATGTTTTAGCTGACGTCGTTGAGCACTCGGTGGCAGCAGCTAGGTTTTCTCCAAGATTTGGAGATTGGCATGTGACGTGACACGACGTTTACGGCGAGCTCTTTTGCTCAAAGTGGAAGGAGCGCACTAGAGAAAATGCTGACGACGTGAACGATAGCGGAGGTGCTCTCAGTGAGGACTGTTTCGATGAGTTTACGATTTGGGACAGCGAAGAGTCTGTGTAGGGCTAGAATTAGTGTACCGGTCCAATTTGAGTATCTTTTGGTAATTGAAGGTATAACACAGGAATTGTGTACCGTATATCAATTGGCATTATCCGTTATTAAATTACACACAGACTAAACTGTAGAACCTGATGTATAATTGCTGTTGTATCAGAGTGACGCCATGGATATATTGGCAAAAATGCCGATTTTCACTTTCAAACTAGACGAAGGGGCTGCTAATGTAAAAAAGAATTTAAAACGCCTTAAAAATGGTCAATCGAAGATCTTTTATTACTAATACATAGGCCGCATCACAATAAAGAGAAAAACGTGAATGTAGCTTGTGTCGGCCAGAGAAGACATCAAAACTCATTCACCCAGATGATGTTGTTTGAAGGGTAGAGGGTTCAGTTTAAGTGAAAGTGAATAGCCCAAGCACTTTTGCGTTTATTAATAAAAGGAAAATTAATGACAGCACCCAAATATATTAAGCTTACCGAAGTAAAATCCTGCGCGCATTATTAAGGAGAAAAACAATTATCAAGTAATTAGTAAAATGCATTGTATTGTGCTTAAAGATTGTAACGCAATATAATAAAATTCCGAATACCTTAATAAAAGTGTCCCGGGCATTATAATAATCGATAAGTGTCACCAGTACTAAGCCTACGAGGTAGGAATAATTTCTTCGATTTTTAACGCTAAGCTTTTACCATTTCTTACTTCAAAGTACTACTTAGTAAAGCTCACGCAAAATAATGACAAAGCATCACCTGCGCCTGCTTCGCAGCCTGCTTTGCTGCTCTTTTTTTTTTTTTTTTTTTTTAACTTTTTGACGTAATCTAATCTTGGCGGTCGCATGAGCTTAGTATGACCATATTATTAGCTAAGCTTACCAATGTCAAATTACAGTAAGATAGGAGCTTGAAAGTACAAACATACACTGGCTGTACTCACATTTTTCTGGTTTTCTAGTTTGTTTATTTAAGAACAAAACCTTGTGTGCTAAGCTGCGGCACAGCAAATCATATTATAAACACGCGTGAGCGTTACGGTGCAAGCATTCTAGAGAATCGTGGGCTTCTTTGTCGACGCCTTCGCACTTTCCTATTTTAAAATATCTAAATATATATACATACTTACGTAAAAGTAGTAATATTTCTGGTCAATAATAATAATCGGAGATCAATGACATTTCTTTCGCTTCTGATATCAATCAAGCTGAACTTAATACATCCGTACACGACATACGAATTTAACCGATGACGGCTGCCTAGCAGCCTACCTTGCGGTAGTTGCTGTCGCAGAATAACTTCGTTTTGCAGGTACTGGGTAGCAAGATAGATTGGTGACGATACTTTCCATCATACACTACCAGCGGCAACTTGACACCGAGACAAAGGACGGGCTGTAACAAATAAACGGGCGTAGCAATTGGGAGCACATAGTGCATAGCAATAGAAATATTATGCGAGATCGGCAACATTCGAGAATAATAAATGTACATGTACATATAGTAGAAAATACTACGTGGTAGCAGTTTTATTTTTAGAAGTAGCAGTTTTATTTTTTATTCAAAAAAACAATATTTGTAAATTACAAAGTGAAAAGTTACTTCACAATACAAAGTAGAAGCACCTCGCTTCAGGGATGATGACTAAAGAGAAGAATGTTTAGCTGACTTATGGATAGCCAGACAGCTAAAATGCCATATCGAACGACTCGGGTGGAGAAACTTTCGCCACCTCACACCGATTAGTCCTGGAATACCGTTTCTTGATCGTAGTAAGAGTGTTGGAAGATGCGTTTGAGGACAGCTTTTGGAGCTCCATCATGCAGCCTTGTAAGTCCGACCAGCTATATAGACAGACATTCGCCAGGTCCTTTGACTAAAAGCAAGCAGATAATGACATAGTTAGGACACATTCAAGATTGTCGATCCTGCTCAACTCATGTTCTAACTCACCATCGGACCCCCGTCGATCATGTACATCGCCATCGACAAGCAACATGTAGCCACAACCGATGGCGAATACTTCAGAAACTGGTACTCTTGTAGGGAAAGCTCAAGCAAGTAATGCGCCAACATGGATGTCTTCTTCTCAATAGGTGGGATCAGTCGCCCGTAGATGTTCAGGAAATCCAGCGCTACAATTTCGTGGTTAAACAAGTCCAGAACTTAGTTAATCGACGGAAATACTTTGTACCTGTAGGCACGAGGAGTGCAAAGTTGAGAGTGTTCAACACTTTCACTTCCATTTCCAGCACTTCAGTTGCCGTGTAGACATTTTCAGCGCATAACACGAGATCTCTCACGCCAATATAAGTTAAGTCTTCCATCTTTGACGCAGCATGCAAACAGGCCGCCCCGAGCAATTGAAGTTGCGATTTCTCCACAGTTGCAAATTCCAGGTAGCGATGACAGCAAGAAAAAAAGTTCGGGGGGACAATTTGAACACATCCACCACTGTGAAAAGTGTAAGGACAGGTAAGAACGTAGCCGGATCAAAACGATTTAACGGGGCAGCTTACCGTCAATGATCCAGTCAACAAGCAGTGATCGGTGTGTTGATGTCAGTGTCTCCTGTCGGCTACGCAAGAAACACACCACATCATTAGCAAATATGCGTGACAAAATGTACAGAAGGTCGCGGCAGTACGTACTCCAAATACTCGACCTGAGCCCAGATTTCCGTCTCCGTTTGACGCAGGTACGAATGGAACAGTGCCAAGTGTTGAGGAGTAGGACTCCACATTCGAGTCACTGCGCGCCACATCTGGCTCATGCAATCCTTGACCTTCACCGGGAAGAGCACAGGCGTGACGTCAAAGAAATAGGGGTTACCAAGTGCTTCTTCGGCCAAAATCCGCTCGTCCGGATTGTACGTTAGCAGTTTTGCAAGCAGATCGATGCCAAGATCCGATGCGTCCGGAAACAGAGTCGCCGTGGGTCTACGTTCAAAGTGGGGGAACTCAAACTGGTAGTTTGGTAAGGACGAGAAGCCTGGCCACGTTTCCAACGTGGGGGTCGACAACTTGCTGAAGATTTGAAACAACTGATCGATCTCCGAAACGCCAGTAAACAGAGCCTCACCTCGGATCATTTCGGCAAAAATGCAGCCAACAGACCACATGCCAACTGCCGAAGAATACTCTACCACACCCATCAGGAGCTCTGGAGCACGGTACCATCGCGTCACTACCTCGTCAGTATACGCTTGACCAGGAATTCCTGTAGCTCGAGCTAGCGCGAAGTCTGAGATCTGCAGTGTTGCATCGCCTAAGCAAGCAAAAAAAGTTGAAATATTAACGAAGAATGTCAAAGCAAAAGCCACATCGCAGTCGACAACTCACTGAGATTGCCCTCTTCCGACATCTGGATGAGTAAATGTCTCAACTTCAGATTACGATGCAGAACTCCACGACGGTGACAGTACGCGACTGCATCCAGAAGTTGGTAAAGAAGTTTGCGAATCTGTACAGTAAAGTATTTCGGTTGTAAAAGTGATACTGTACACTCTATAGTTTAGTGCACAGTATACGTACCACAGGCTCAGGCAAAACACGGCCGTCTTCACAGCTCCCTGTTGGGTATATGACATCATCCAACGTGCGGTCCACGTAAGGGAAGAACATGTGAAGCTCGTCCTTGACAAGACTGACGATCTCCAGAGACGTGATATGGTCGTGCGTTGTCCCCTTGAGCAGGCTAAGCTCTCGGATCATATAATACGGCACTCCTTCCTCCTAATTCAACAAGATGAAGGCTACATTAGACGTAATTCCTCCATTTAGACCAGACCCACGTCTGTATGCTTAGACTTGCCTCTGGAAATATTCGTGTCCTCTTCATCGCTAAAACTCTGCCAGTGGAGCGTTCAAGACACTTGAAGCATTCACCTTCGGAGCCCTCGCACTTGAAGCTCAATTTCTTGAAATTGATCCAATTGACAGAGCCGTCAGGAGTCACGCTCGGGAATGGCCGATACAATTCCTGTTCATCGGTCAGCTCTCTCCAGTTCTTGGAGACTAGAGTCATACTCTCCAGGTCTTGGACTGTGAGGAGGAAAGAGAAGATCTGCAAAAGAACCTTTTCCACTCCGTCCCCTTTTTGCTCAACAATCACAAGACCCTGCTGCACGTGTCCAAGTCTTCCCTTTGTCACGGAGCACCCTCGAAGAGATCTTAGGAGGAGGTTATTCCTCTCCATTGGCCACGATGAAGCCAATGAACGGCGTCTCCCCAAATGGCTTGTAGCCTTTTGAACCCATTGAACCCACTCCTGGATATTTGAAAGTGGTACTGCTGCCTCGGTTCATTTTTCGCCTGCTTCATGTATTGACTAGTTAGTATTATAGTCAGTAGTCAACTAGCGGTCTGGGCGCCCGCTCCGCGGACGCTAGGGTATGGTTGGTTGGTGTAGTGCGGGCTGACCACCTTCGCTGCGCTGCGGTGGGCTTAGCGTTTCGTACAGCAAAGCAACATATAGTACATGCATACTGTGTTCTACCTATATTACGCTCCAAAACAACACCGCACACAGTATCTTTAGTGCCACATGTTATGATAGATATGATCAGGGTTTAACGTGATCTGAAAGATGAGCACCATCTTACCCGTGAAGGTTTTGTCTATAATCGCATTTGAGCGCATAGCTCCCAAAATGACACGAATCGGAGGCGTGTCCGATGCAAAAGCTAACAAATGCTGTTCAGAAGACATGTCAGTATCAGTGATGATCCACATTGGCATAGACCATTGAGGAATCCCAGTTTAGCTGGAGTAAATACGTCTACTCAAACATAATATCATCTGTCACGTCATCGCCGTGAGGCAGTCGACACCATATCATTGATTGCGACGGTCTATTAGAGAAAGGTTTAGTCAGCTCCTTGCACGAAGTATCTTTTAGGACAGGTAGATTTTGCCGATAGTCGCGACAAGCACCAATATTATGCGTCGCAATTGTTCTGCTGAGCTCTTTATGATATTACTAAAGAATGTTTCCACTATCTTTTGCATGCATTGATTCTACTTGCATAGCTGCCGCACATACTGACTTATTTGCATAGATTCTGACTGATAGAGTGGCGTAGACCCTTTCGAGTGACATTTACTGGCTCCGATATGTATGACGAACATACGAAGCCACATAGCTGTAGGCAGATTATCAGATCGTAGATGTCGTAGACTTGATTCGAATCGTCGCTCATGTACATTATATGAAGTACTTTTGCTGCCTACTTATCAACTCGGCGTGCTATTTGATGTATCCGTGCATATATTGCGAGGTCGTTACTGAGTGTGTATACCACGCGCTCGTGACATATAAAACCTATGTATAGGATCACTGTCGCTTTCTCGGTTCATTTGCGTCGTCGTGCTGGCTTACTGTGCTTACGCTTCTGATGTATCAGTTTATATGACCAGGCGCGTTGCTAATTCGGCACATGCCATACCGCGGGGATACAGGATAGCTGACCGCGCGTCTGCTCGCAGATATATACGCGCGCGGCGGGTACACGTATAACCATCCCCAGCTCTGATCCCGGTAAATTTGAGCAGGGCTTTAAAGTACGGTACTGCGTACAGACACACCGACTTGACACACCCACCTGTATGGTTTGCACGTCCACACACGTGCTCGTGTCTGTGTAGACATCAACTTATTCGTCGCGCGTGATTCCCACTCAATATTGTTGCTTAAATTTGTGAGCGCGCATAAGTGTAATATACGTTGTGAGCGTGGGTGGTACAGATAGCATCGGTTTGCGTGTGCCAAGTGAGCGAGTCTACTTGCCTTCTACGCAGACGCGTATGCAAACAGGAGCGGTCAGTTTGCAGCAGCAATACAGTACATACCCCGTGCTAGTTATTAAATAAAACGCGCTACGCTCTATAGATGCGTCAACATGCTCGGTAGCGCCACAGTCAGCTTACCGTATGTGCGGCCCCAAGCCTCGCACCGTCATCCAGTATACCAAAAACAAAAATAGGTAGGAAAATAGGGGCATAAAGGGTATATTTACCGTTACTTCCTCTTCTGCTGCTTCTTTTGCTCGATGTACTTGGCATTTCGGGCGGTCAGCTTGCGATGGCGGCTGCGGATCTTACTCTTGTTGGGGTACCAGTCAAGGCCCATCGCCTTCTTGACGTTTGACAGGCTTTCCTGGCGGCGCACTTCGGTCGAATCAGGTGGTGGGGCTTTTTCTCCCAGAGCTCAACCGCTTTTGGGTCGCTCTCGCAGGCAATACAGCGCCGCACGATGTCCCGCCCGCTGATTGTACGGAATGCGTAGCCGTACTGCAGCTTCCCGCAGCAGACGCAGCGCGCTCGGGGGTCCGTCGTAGACCGCTGCGGGTTCAGCAGCAGTGGGTCAATCTTCGCCTCACATTGCTTGCACGTAGGGCCCACCATTTTGCAAACTGTGAGTAAGTTAGCAACATATATTATTTTAACCAATTACTTGCGTCCAAATATTAGCCAATGGCACGAAAATAAAACGCGGATATTTATTATTTATAACAAAATATTAAAAAGTTGATATTTAATATTTTGGCTTTGCTATAGCAATAGTTTTATCATATTTCCAAACAAATACACACTTTACATGCAATAAAAGAGACTAAAATAAAAGACTATGTACCGTGCGCGCATGCATTCGTCGGGTGGGGTGCACGGGAGCAGATAGCGCAATGACCGTGCAGCCGCGCGCCTTCATTGCACGGTGGCAGTGGTGAGTGCCAGGTGAATTAAAAAGATATATATTCGCAAAGTCCCTACAAAAAGCGCTGGTCGTGAGGCCTACTTTAATATTTAAAAATACTATCGTCTCTACTTTAAAAAGTGTGTGGAAAATAGCATCGCCGAGCTCTTACAAATGCGGTCTGTGAAGCTTATTTTAATAATACTAATACTATTAATATCGTCTTTACTTTGAAAGGTGTGTCAAAAATAACTTCCCCGAGCTCTTACAAAATACAGGTCTGTGAAGTCTACATTAATAATAATAGATATCTCTATTTGAGAAGTGTGCAGAGCTCTTAGAAATTAAAGTGGTTACTATGCCCGATTTGCAGTACATGACAGGTTTTGCGTCAATAATCAAGTATCTGCACAGATCGCCTGGCTGTTTGCAACCCAATCGATGCGTTTCGTGCTCGGCAAAAATGTTTAGCTTACGTCCAATCGCGAGGGAGAGAGGCGGTCTGATCGTGCGCCCGATCCAGTCAGTGTCGCAGGTCAGCCGGTATTGCCCAATCAGGGCGCGAGTTAATTGTGTGACGCTTTTGGATATATTTGTAATTTTGGCATAGCTAGGTCGAGTCAGAAAGATAGGCGAGGTCGGTACGATGGGAGGAAACTGTATTAGACAGGCCGAGTGTAGCCATGCGAAAAGGCAGGAAAAAGCAGCAAGAAAGGAACCGGACGGACTTATTGACAGACGGACGGACACGCTAGAAGGTTAGAAGCGGAGAGATGACTACATGTACATGAATTGTGCTTTTCACGTGAATTTGCCAAATCAGGTCTATTTTAAGACTTTGGCGAAACAACCGAGGAATCACACCTCATCAATAATTGGTTAAATTTGTGCAATTTCTATACTTTAGCCAATCACTAATCTTTTCTCGATAAGCCATTTCTCGACACTAAAGCTGTGACGGGCCGTTGTCACACAACAGCTACCGCGTCCACCACGGTAGCCAATCAACACGTAGAACAGAGTAAATGGTTGGCGCGGTCTCGTGTCGAGACCGCGTCGCTAACTATCAATCTCAGAGTTATATTTGCCTACTTCCTCGATCCTTCCAGTGTACACTACAGTAACGGTATTTCAGTCCCGTTACACCTGATAGCACTTAGCAATCCATCCAACGCTCACGATAAAGATGAACGACACGTTGATGAGCGACGCGTCCAGGATGACCAGCACGTCACTAGAACTCGCAAGATTCCCCCACCTGTCCTTGATTGTGTGGAAAGCGTTACACCAACTCGCTGCTGCATCCGGCGATGCTGTCATCCAGACTCTGCTGACGGCCGGCACTGAGGAACAACAACGCCTGGCCGCCCAGGAATTCATGGCACGTGAGCTCGCTGACCTCCGTCAGCGAGTGTCGACTCCCACGCAATCCAAACACAAGACCGACATCGTCAAGTTAGACGTCTCTACCTATACCGGTGAAGGCGCTGGCCGCCTTCACTTGAACCGGTGGTTCTGTGAGGTTGACATCGCTGTTGACGCTCGGCAACTGTCCACCGAGCTCGCGAGGACTCGTTTCCTCCTCTTCAAGTAAGGGGAAAGGCGAAAGAGTGGGCACTCGGTAAGCTCGTCGCCGACGCCACCTGTTTCCCGACGATGGCGTCCACGAAGTCCGACCTTTGGCTCGCGCTCGAGCCACCTCAAGACGAGAACGTCCAGCGGTCCGCATTCCTGTCGCTGAAGCAGGGACGCCCGTTTATGCTCGAGTACATTCAGCACACTCGGCATCTGGTGTCGTGCATCACGACCCATCCCGTGGACATGGCGACTCAGGTCCACGTCTTGTTTCGGGACTAAACGCTGGCTACTAGCGTTTCTACTTGACAAGGAAACATCCATCCACACTCGAAGAGGCCTTCGTGATTGCTTTGCGCAAAGACTACAGTGTCACGGCGTCGCAAGCATTCGACGTCTCGAGGCCTTTGGCTCACGAGCCCGGTCCCGAACCGATGGAGATGGATGCAATTCAACACCATGGCGGACGTCGGGTGCCGACGTCATCCAGTTTGTCAGGTTCGTCGAGTTCGTCGCAGTCTTCAGCACGCACACCGCGTCCGCTGCGTTGCTTCCGCTGTAAGAAGCTTGGACACCGCGCGGCAGTTTGACGCGCTCCAGCTCCTGTCGTGACGACCGTCACGACCCAGTCCGACGTGGCTATTGCCCCTCCAGCAAAAAACGACGACGACCAGTAGGTGCGGGGCGCCCTACTGGGTCTGACAACGGGAATGGTTCCCTGGTGGCGGAACCTCCTCCTAGCCCTCCTGTGCTTCACG